CGCCGTTAGGGTCCGCCCGACCCGACCTACCCGACCGTTAGGGTACGCGCGTGCCAACTCGATGACGCATCGTAGTTTAATGTTCCTCCATCGAGTGGTGTTTGCCGATGTATGTAATGGGAATCCAGGGTGGGTGGGGTTTGAGCACCGCGGCAGTGTGTCATCGACATCCATGTGTTTTTCTACACGCTTTCCTGGTGGACCCTAAACCCTAAACCCTAAACCCTAAACCCTAAACTGCAAGCCACGGGCGGTGCAACGTCAGTAGCCCGTGGCGCCTGGCCGAGCGATCAGCGAGTCCGCCCATGCGCGCACGCCGCACCGACGAAGCGGCGATAGCCGCTGAGGAGGATTCGCATCCCGCGGGTATGCATCCCCGTGGGTGTGCATCTGAGAAGAAAAAGAACCCTTAACCCAAAGCCCAGCCGTAGGGTTCGCTACGATTGGCTCCATCCCCTGGGGCTCCAAACCTATGAAAATACAACATGCAGCGCCCTTTCGGCCGTCCATGGGGCCGCAAACCATATGAAAATACAGCATGCGGCGTCCTTTCGGCTGGCGCACGTCCCAGGCGCTCCCAAGCGCTCCCAGGCGCTCCCAGGCGCTCCCAGGTGCTCCCAGGCGCTCCCAGGCGCTCCCAAGCGCTCCCAGGCGCTACCAGGCGCTCCCAGGCGCTCCCAAGCGTTCCCAGACGCTCCCAGGCGCCCCCAAGACTTCCCAAGGCGTTCCCAGGCGTTCCCAAGCGCTCCCGGGCGCTCCCAAGCGCTCCCAGGCGTTCCCAGGCGCTCCCAAGCGCTCCCAAGCGCTCCTAAGCGCTCCCAGGCGCTCCTAGGCGCCCAGCACGCTCCCAAGCGCATCCTGGCGCTCCCAGCATGCTCCCAGGCGCTCCCAAGCGCTCCCAAGCGCCACCAAGCGCTCCCAGGTACTCCCAAGCGCTCCCGGCACGCTCCCAGGCGCTCGAGCATGCTCAGGCGCTCCCTGCGCGCTCCCAAGCGCTCCCTGGCGCCTCCGAGCGCTCCGGGACGCTCCCAAGCACTCCAAGGCGCTCCGGCACGCTCCCAGGCGCTCCCGGCACGCTCCCAGCACGCTCCCAGCACGCTCCCAATGCTCCCAGGCGCTCCGAAGCTCCCACAAGTGCTCCCAAGCGTTCCCTGGCGCTCCCAAGCGCGTTTAAGCAGTCCGAGCGGTCCCGTGCGCTCCCAAGCGTTCGCATGCATTCGCAAGCACTCGGCAGCGCTCCCTGGCGGCGCTTCCCGGCGCTCCCCCGCAATGCAGGTGCTGCCGCAGCCATGCGCGCGCATCGTAGCGAGGGGGTGCCAGACCCACCCCCTCGCGCTCCCCCTCCAGCCATGCGAAATTCGCGCCGAAGGCGGCTGCGTCGACACTGCAATCGCTTCAGCGGGGGCGACGCCAACGGTCGAACCCAACGGACAATTCACGGCTCGCACTCGCGGTGCACTCTGCGTGTCCTGTCACGCTCCCAGACGCTCCCACGTGCTTCCATCCTGGGGAAAGGTCGAGGCGCTCCCCCAGCGCTGCCAGAGAGCTCCCCCAAGGCATCCCAGGGGGTCTGCCATGGACGTGCTGCCGCAGCCATGCGCGCGCATCGTAGCGAGGGGGTGCCAGACCCACCCCCTCGCGCTCCTCCTCCCGCCTTCCGAAGCTCGCGTCGACAGCGTCTGCGGATGATTGCAATCGCTTCAGCGGGGGCGACCTCAAAGCAAAACCCAAAGCCGCGGGCGAATACACCTGCCGTGCGCGCCCCCGTCAGCGAGGAGCCCGACGGCGCGGCTACTCGCTCGAGGCCCACGGGGGCCCATGGGATTGCCGCGCCAGCGCCCTCGCAGTGCTGCTTTCCAACGCCGAAGGCAAATGCGGACCCCTGTGGATCTGCTGCGCCAGCGGCAGCCCAACGGCGAAGCCCCCTGCCGAAGGCGCAACAGCTGCCTCATCGACGAGGCGAGCTGACGCGCCAGCGCCATGCACCCTGCGCGCGTGCCCGCATGGGCGCGCATTGCCACGGCCGCGACCGCGCGCGCGCTTCCCAGCATTCGCACCCCAGTGTCACAACCCAGTGCCGAAGGCAAAGGCGGCAACGCACGGACATGCTGCGCCAGGGGCAGCCCTGCGCGCGTGCTCACGTGGATGCGCAATGCCACGGCCGCGTCGGCGATCGCCTGCGCGCGCCAACACGAAAGCCCCCCTTGATAGGGGGGTTGGGGGGAGAAACCCTAAACCCTAAAAGGCTTTACTGTGGGTGGTCTGGGGCGGGAGTGCAAGTTCATAGCGCGCGCGGCTTGGGCAGCGATCCCCCCCAACAACCTTGATGTGGGGGGGATCGCAGCCAGCGCGCGCATGCGCCCATGCAGGCCCTAAACCCTAAACCCTAAACCCTAAACCCTAAACCCTAAACCCTAAACCCTAAACCCTAAACCCTAAACTGCAAGCCACGGGCGGTGCATCGTCAGAAGCCCGTGGCGCCTGGCCGAGCGATCAGCGAGTCCGCCCATGCGCGCACGCCGCACCGACGAAGCGCGTAGCGCTGAGGAGGATGCGCTCCCCCGCGGGGATGCCTTGTGAGTGCTCCGAGAGATGAATAGAACCCTTAACCCAAAACCCAGCCAGTGGGTTCGCAGCGGGCGCCTACATCCCCTGGGGCTCCAAACCTATGAAAATACAGCATGCGGCGCTCTTTCGGCCGTCCGTGGTGCCGCAAAACATATGAAAATACAGTATGCGGCGTCCTTTCGGCTGGCGCACGTCCCAGGCGCTCCCAAGCGCTTCCAGGCGCTCCCAGGCGCTCTCAGGTGCTCCCAAGCGGCCCCAGGCGCTCCCAAGCGCTCCCCAACGTTCCCAGGCGCTCCCAGGCGCTCCCATGCGCTCCCAGGCGCTCCGCGGCGCTCCCCGGCGCTCCCAGGCGCTCCCAGGAGCTCTTAGATGCTCCCCAGCGCTTACGGCACGTTCCCAAGCGCTCCCAATGCACCCAGGCGCATGGCGCTCCCAGGCGCTCTCAGGCGCTCCCGGCAAGCTCCCAGGCGCTCCCCGGCGCCCCCTGGCGCTCCCAAGCGCTTCCATGTCGGTCCCATCCCCTGGGGACTGCCTTACACGTGAAAACACGCCTACGGCGGCCTCTCTGGCTGTGCTGGGGAGCGTAACGCACGTGGAAATACGCCTACGGCGGCCCCTTGGGCCTTCTTGGTGTGCCATGCAGAACGTTATGCCTGCGGCGGCTTCTTCGGCTATGCTTTGGTGCCCTGCTGGTGCATCTAGCAGAAACCGCGACGCGAGAAAAAAAAAAGCGACGCAGATGCGCCGAACGGCTCCGCGGACCCAAGTGATTCGCCCAAGACCTCGTCGAGCAAGCCCCGAGGAGTTCCAGGGGCTCGTATTTTAAGTCCCACGGGGTTTCACGGGGGGGAGCGCGAGGGGCACGCGCCCGGCGCCCTCTCGCACTGCGAAGTCCGCCGCGAAGGGCATCACACGACGCCTTCCGTGGCCATGTACGAGGGGGCGCCAGACCCGCCCCCTCGCGCTCCCCCTCCCCGCCGTTTGGATACTCTAGGGGTGTCGAGAACGTCAGACAATCTCTACGTATGCCCTTCCTTCTGCTTTCCTTCCCTTCCCCGACGTGGCACTGACAGACCATCATTTTCCTAACAGGAATGCACACGTTCGTGCCTTTGCACGCGACAGCGGGGCAGGCGCGCCGCGTGGATACTGCGAGAGGCGAGCGGTCGCGCGCCAGCCAACGCACGGACACCGGAGGCAATCTCAGAACGCGGGTATGAAGTTGTCGCGCTCCACGTAGCCGCCGATCAGGTAGTCGTCCGACGTCGCGACACGGCTGAGCGCTGTATACCCCGCTGCTGGTCGAGGCCATCCGTCCAGGTATATAGTGATGTGGGGGAACTCGTCGCCTTGCACTTTGTCGATGGTGCTGGCGTACCCGAGGCGGATTGGAAAGTAGACCGCGTTGCCCTTCTCGCGATCGGTCCAGCGAGTGATGGCCAGACGATGGCCAGTCTTCGTCATCACGCGCAGCATGTCCTCCTCGGCGTGGTAGTTCTCCACCTCGCAAAGCATGCCGTTGACCTCGTCAGCCTCCTTGTTCTTGTTCTTCGTCAGGTACAACTTCATCCCCTTATAGATCGGCACTTTGCTTGGAACCAGACGGCGGTCAGTGCGAAGCTTGCCATCCAGGTAGTTCTCGGGGTTGAGTTCCACGTCGCCGTCCAGCGTGGCCAGCGGGGTCTTGCGGCCGTACAGCGCAGCGACTGCAGCCTCGTTCACGGCCGCAGCGCCCCTGCGCGTGCAGGTGACGATCCGCGTGTCTGGGTGCTTCTCGAAGAGCTTCTTCATTTCGGCGGGCGTGGGATCGCCTCTGCTCTTCCACGCCTTGTGATCGCGCACAATCTTGCGGAACGTCTCCTTCGAAGGCTTGTCTGTCCGAAGCTCGTCCAGGATCTCCTGGAAGCGCTCCTCCTTGCACCGCCAGGTCTCGGTGAGCTTCACGTGGAAGCAGCGCGGCTGCTTCCATGCGGCACTCTCCCACGGACGTGTCGGCTCGACCCCAGGGAGCTGGTGCTTGTCTCCGAGGAAGACCAGCGCGGGGACTTTCCCCGCGACGCTCCACAGCTTCAGGATGCGCTCGAAGCTTTCGCAACTCAGCAGCGATACCTCGTCAACCACCACCAAGTCGAAGTCCGTCATCCTGTGAAGACTCTCTGTGATTGGATCGTGCAGCTTGAATGCGGCGTGGCACGTGTCCACCGTTAGGCCCTCCAGGCCTTGCAGTGCTTGCTTCATGCGGCTGGACAGCTGCGCCGTCGGGAGGGCGAAGAGCACGCGCGCGCCTTGCTCCTGGGCGCGCCGAATGCAGGACTTGACCACGGTGGTCTTCCCCGTCCCAGGCTTCCCAAGGCAGATGACTGGCGCGTTCTTCTTGTACGCTTCCTCGCGCGCCTCGTCGGAGATAGCGCTCACGAGCGCCCGCGGCACGCCTGGCGTGGGCGGCGGCCGCAGCGGCCGCAAAGGCTACAGCGAAGGCGCCGACGGTGGCGCCCTTCAAAGATAGCTCGGAGATAGCGCTCACGAGCGCCCGAGGCACGCCTGGCGTGGGTTGCGGCCGCAGCGGGCGCAAAGGCTACAGCGAAGGCGCCGACTGTGGCGTCCTTCAAAAATAACTCGGAGATAGCGCTCACGAGCGCCCGCGGCACGCCTGGCGCGGGCGGCGGCCGCAGCGGCCGCAAAGGCTACAGCGAAGGCGCAGACTGTGGCGTCCTTCAAAGATAGCTCGGAGATAGCGCTCACGAGCGCCCGCGGCACGCCTGGCGCGGGCGGCGGCCGCAGCGGCCGCAAAGGCTACAGCGAAGGCGCCGACTGTGGCGTCCTTCAAAGATAGCTCGGAGATAGCGCTCACGAGCGCCCGAGGCACGCCTGGCGTGGGCGGCGGCCGCAGCGGGCGCACAGACAATGCAATCGCTACAGCGGGGGCGACGCCAACGGTCCTGCCCACTGGACAACCCACGGCCCGCACTCGCGGTGCACTCTGCGTGTCCTGTCACGCTCCCAGACGCTCCCACGTGCTTCCATATTGGGGAAACCTCGAGGCGCTCTCTCAGCGCCCCCAGAGAGCTCTCCCAAGGCATTCCAAGAGGTCTGCCATGGAGGTGCTGCAGCAGCCATGCATGCGCATCGTAGCGAGGGGGTGCCAGACCCACCCCCTCGCGCTCCCCCTTCCAGCCATGCGAAATTCGCGCCGAAGGCGGCTGCGTCGACAATGCAATCGCTTCAGCGGGGGCGACGCCAATGGGCAAGCCCAACGGGCAATTCACGGCTCGCGCTCGCGGTGCACTCTGCGTGTCCTGTCGCGCTCCCAGACGCTCCCACGTGCTTCCAGCCTGGGGAAAGGTCGAGGCGCTCCCCCAGCGCTCCCAGAGAGCTCCCCCAAGGCATTCCAGGAGGTCTGCCATGGACGTGCTGCCGCAGCCGTGCGCGCGCATCGTAGCGAGGGGGTGCCAGACCCACCCCCTCGCGCTCCTCCTCCCGCCTTCCGAAGCTCGCGTCGACAGCGTCTGCGTCGATGATTGCAATCGCTTCAGCGGGGGCGACCTCAAAGCAAAACCCAAAGCCGCGGGCGAATACAACTGCCGTGCGCGTCGCCGTCAGCGAGGAGCCCGACGGCGCGGCTACTCGCTCGAGGCCCACGGGGGCCCATGGGATTGCCGCGCCAGCGCCCTCGCAGTGCTGCTTTCCAACGCCGAAGGCAAATGCGGACCCCTGTGGATGTGCTGCGCCAGCGGCAGCCGTCTACGACGGCGGCTGCAAGGGCAGCCAGGCCAACGGCAAAAGCCAATGCAGGAGGCCCTACTGGAACCAGGGGCAATGCTGCGTCTGCGACAGGCCAACGCCGTAACTCAAAACCTCATGCGGCGACGCCTGGCCTTGAGGCCTCTCCTGTGCCTTCTGATTGCAATGAACACCCGCAGGAGAAGAATCCGTCCTTCGGCAAAGCCATGCGCCAACTGGGAGCCAGCCGAATGCAGCTAAACCCACGGCAAAGATTGTTGGCCATGCGACGACGCTGGCTCTTGCGCCTGCGCAAAGCGCTTTGCGCGCGTACCAAAAACGCAATGCCAAAACCGCGTCGTCGTGCTCCCCGCGGAATATTCGCATTCGCACACAACACGAAAGCCCCCCTTGATAGGGGGGTTGGGGGGAGAAACCCTAAACCCTAAAAGGCTTCACTCTGGGTGGTCTTGGGGCGGGAGTGCGACTAACCGTGGCGCGCGCGGCTTGGGCAGCGATCCCCCCCAACAACCTTGATGCGGGGGGGATCGCAGCCAGCGCGCGCTTGCGCCAATGCAGGCCCTAAACCCTAAACCTTAAACCCTAAACCCTAAACCCTAAACCCTAAACCCTAAACCCTAAACCCTAAGAACCCTAAACCCTAAACAATAAACCCTAAACCCTAAGCCCTAACCCCTAAACCCTAAACCCTAAACCCTAAACCCTAAATTCCCAAGCACCTCGCTGTGCTTCTGCCCACCCCACCGCGCATCACCGACGCCGTCTACGAGAGACAGGGCATCTCTGAGATACTTCAGCAGGTAGCCAGAGTGGGTCGCCCATGCAGCCGTAGGCTGCCCCTTGGGAATCGCGATTCAAAGATAAACTTTCCCTTGATCCTCGAAGAGTATAACACCCTAAACCCGGGGACCTTTCGTCCTCGGGTCGGGCTCTACATGTCTCCGACACGTAAAAACACGTGTGGGGCGCTCTAAGCGCTTCTGGGCGCGCTTGGGAGCGCCTGGGAGCGCTTGGGAGCGTCTGGGAGCGCTTGGGGCCGCCTGGGAGCGCCTGGGAGCGCTTGGGAGCGGCTGGGAACGCCTGGGAGCGCCTGGGAGCGCCTGGGAGCGCCTGGGGGCGCCTGGGAGCGCTGGGGCGCGCCGAGGAGCGCCGGGGAGCAACTGGCAGCGCCGGGGAGCGCCGGGGAGCGCCGGAAAGCGCCTGGGAGCGCCTGGGAGCGCCTGGGACGCTTCGGGACGCCTGGGAGCGCTTGGGAGTACTTGGGAGCGCTTGGGAGCGCCTGGGAGCGCCAGGGAGCGCTAGGGAGCGCCTGGGAGCGCCTGGGAGCGCCTGGGAGCGCCAGCTTGGAGCCATGTGGGAATTTAGGGGCCAGCGGCCCTAAACCCTAAAAGGCTTTAGTTTGGGAGGTCGCCGGCCATGCGGCCGGGGGTGGGAAGATGTTGCAACTCCTGCTCCCTTCGCCAAGCTTGCTCGGGTCGGCTAACCGCCCCCCCCATCAAGCTTGCCGAAGGGGGGGCAGCATTGCCTGGACTGTCGGCCGCTGCGCGCCCGAGAAGCCCTAAACTCGCCCAGGGCCGCTTGGCCCGTATCCACCCACCCATTTAGGCGGCAAGCGCCCTAACTGGCACCTCGCAGTCAGACTACCTCCTGGCCGTACGTGAATCACAGGTCTGCCCAGATGAGTCTCGGTTGCCGTCAGGCATGGCCCGCGAGGGCCTTATCTCATTATCAATGATGCGGCTTACGCGCAAGCGATAATCCTGTGCCCGCCTGGGCGATCGTCAAAGAGACTTATAACCCCAAAACATCAACCGAATTCACCGTGACGCTGGTCGGGCCCCTCCTGGAGCGCCAACATAAAATCGCTAAATGACGCGGATTGCGACTGGCAATTTTTTTTTCGACCTCGAATCCTAGAGTTTTCCAGAGTGAACCTCCCCGATCGGCTGGCTGGCAAAAGACGTTCTCTGGCGAACCGGGCGCCGCAGGAACGTTTCCTGGCGACTCGGGCGCCCTTGGGGGCCCTCAGACCAGCGTCACGGTGCACTGGACAGCGCCCAATGGATCTGGCGCCCCCTGAGGGCCCAAAGACGTTTCCTGGCGAATCGGGCCACCTGGGCCCCCCCAGACCAGCGTCACGGTGAATTCGCTCCCGCCCAGGGGCCCTGGGTCCCCTGAAGGCCCAAAGACGTATCCTGGTGACTCGGGCCCCCGCGGGGTGGTCCCTGGGTCCCCCCAGACCAGCGTCACGGTGAATTAGCTCCCGCCAAGGGGCCCTGGGCCCCCCCCCCTGAGGGCCCACAGACGTCTCCTGGCGACTCGGGCGCCCGCGGGGTGGTCTCTGGGCCCCCCCAGACCAGCGTCACGGTGAATTAGCTCCCGCCCAGGGGCCCTGGGGAGCCCCTAGGAGCCCCCCAGGAGCACCCCCAGACCAGCCCCAGGAGCCCCCCAGGAGCCCCCTAGGAGCCCCCCAGGAGCCCCCCCAGACCAGCGTCACGGTGAATTAGGCTGCGCCCAGGAGCCCCCTCCGGAACCCGCCAGGAGCGCCCTGGGAGCTCCCCAGGAGCACCCCAGGAGCCCCCTAGGGGCCCCCCAGGAGCACCCCCAGACCAGCGTCACGGTGAATTGGGCACCTGCGGGGTGGTCCCTGGGCCCCCCTCGAACCAGCGCCACGGTGAATTAGCTCCCGCCCAAGGGCCCTGAGGTCCCCTGAGGGCCCGCAGACGTCTCCTGGCGACTCGGGCCCCTGCAGGGTGGCCCCTGCACCCCACCCCAAACCAGCGCCACGGTGAATTAGCTCCCGCCCAAGGGCCCTGGGCCCACCCGAGAGCCCAAATACGTTTCCTAGCGACTCGGGCCCCCGCGGGGTGGTCCCTGGGTTCCCCCAGGCCAGCGTCACGGTGAATTAGCTCCCGCCAAGGGGCCTTGGGGTCACCTGAGGGCCCACAGACGTCTCCTGGCGACTCGGGCACCCGCGAGGTGGTCCCTGGGCACCCCCTGACCAGCGCCACGGTGAATTAGCTCCCGCCCAAGGGCCCTGGGGAGCCCCCTAGGAGCCCCCCAGGAGCCCCTCCGGACCAGCCCCAGGAGCCCCCCAGGAGCTCCCTAGGAGCCCCCCAGGAGCCCCCCCAGACCAGCGTCACGGTGAATTGAGCTGCGCCCAGGAGCCCTCTCCGGAACCCGCCAGGAGCGCCCTGGGAGCTCCCCAGGAGCACCCCAGGAGCCGCCTAGGGCCCCCCCAGGAGCACCCCCAGACCAGCGCCACGGTGAATTGGGCACCTGCGGGGTGGTCCCTGGGCCCACCCAAACCAGCGCCACGGTGAATTAGCTCCCGCCCAAGGGCCCTGAGGTCCCCTGAGGGCCCGCAGACGTCTCCTGGCGACTCGGGCCCCTGCAGGGTGGCCCCTGCACCCCCCCCCAAACCAGCGCCACGGTGAATTAGCTTTGCCCGATCCCCGCAGGAACCCGCCATGAACCCCCCAGGCGCCCTCCAGGAGCCCCCCCAGGAGCTCCCCAGGAACCTCCCAGGAGCCGTGGGCCCCCCAGGGCGCGCGCCACGGTGAATTAGCTTTGCCCGAAGCCCCCAGGAACCCGCCAGGAACCCCGCAGGCGCCCTCCAGGGCCCTCCCAGGGCCCTCCCAGGGCACCCTAAGCGCACGCCATGGTGAATTAGCAGCCGCCCAGGGCCCAG